TGTGAAGGGGTCACAGAGAGCAGCTGAGGCTTGGCACTCTGAGAGGCCAGGAAAGGCCATAGGTGAAAGTGCAGCTTCAGTTGCAGTGAAGACCCCAGGACTGAAGGGGTCACGGAGAGAACCTGAGGGTTTGCACCTGGAGAGGCAAGAAGAGGCCATTGGTGAAGGTGTAGCCTCAGTTTCAGTGGAGACCCCAGCTTTTTGGAGATGCCAGGACCATGGGACGACCACCAAGGACGGCAGTAAGTGTGGAATGGAGCTGGCCTGGGTCTGCGAGACAAGCTGAGTGTGCTGTGGACGGCAGAGTCAGAGCAATGGAGCTGCCAATACCCTTTGGAGCCAGAAGACTGTGAGTGAATCCCAGATGTCCAGCCTTGAACTACTTTGCTGGACTTTGTTTGGTTTTGCTTAGGTGTGCCCGATTCTTCCCTTTGAAATAAGACAGTACTTGTTTTGGATTTTACAGAAACCCACCCAAGGTTGAGACTTTTAAAAGAGACTATGGACTTTTAAGTGTTTGGATTTTTTAAGGACTGTGGGGCTTTTAAGGTTGTACTGTCTTATGTTGTGATACTAACATCCTATCTTGGGGACAAGAATTGGCAAAGTTATGGTTTAATAGTGATGTGTTTGTGTGTCAAGTTGACAAGGGATCAATTGTGCTGGATAGCTTTAGTGTGCACTTGACACACCTGGGTTGAGGGAGCCTCAATTGGGGAATTACCTCTATTGGACTGGCCTGTGGCCATGTCTGAAGGGCATCTTGATGAGTGATGTGGGACGGCCCAGCCCACTGTGGGTGGTGCCACCCTGGGCAGGTGGGCCTGTGTTGCATAAGAAAGCAGGCTGAGCAGGGGCCAAGGGAGCAAGCCAGTAAGCTCCTGCCTCCCAGGTTCCTGCCCTGAGTTCCTACCTTGGGCTCCCTGATGAACTGCGACCTGGGAGATGTAAGCTGAATAAACCCTTTCCTCCCCAAGTTGGTAGTGGTCAGAGTATTTTGTCACAGCAATGAAGAAACAAACTAGGACACTATGCAAAAAAAAAATTAAGCCAGGCATGGTGGCTCACGCCTTTAAATCTCAGCACTTGGGAGGCCAAGGCAGGCAGATCTCTGAGTTCAAGGCCAGCCTGGTCTACATAGCGAGTTCCAGGATAGCTGGGGTTACACAGTCCGTCTCAAAAGACCAAAAACAAAAAAAAATTGTTGCTGGGGTACAGTTCGGTGGGACCTAAATTATATAAATTAAGACTACACGACACTGGCAGTAGCTGACAACGTGAACAGGGAACAGGCAGCCCGCCTCCCTGATCAGCTACTTGGCTCATGAGCATTATGGCCATTGTCTCCCCTGCTGGAGCCCAGCTGCATCCCACAATCCCAGTATTCTGCAGTGGAGTTGAATCTAGAAATTAATGATGTGTGTGCATGTGTACGCGATGCATGTGTGGGCATACATGCCATAGTGCATGTGTGGAGGTCAGAGGACAACTCTTTGAAGTCCTCTCCTCCCACTTTGCAAAAGTTCCAGGGACTGAACTCGGTGCCAGTCTTGCGCCTTTAAATCCACTGAGCTGACAGTGCTAAATTTTGAGAAAAAATAAACATCTAGCAATCACTGGAGGTCTGAATTTTCACCTCTACCGTGAGTGGGGCAGCGGTTACACATGTAGGTATTAGTCATAGCTCATCTATACACTTGGTGCCTTTGTGTTTATCGTGTGTCAAGTCAAACCTCAGGTTCTGTAATACAGCTAGTCATCAAAGGGGTTTTCTGTTTTGAAACAGGAACAGGGTCTCATGTAGCCCGGGCTATCCTAGAACTTACAAGGTAGCCTAGGCTGGCCTTGATTTTTTTTTTTTTTTTTTACTTTTGAGACAGTCTCAGCCCAGGCTGGCTTCAAACTTACTATGTAGCCAAGTGTAACCATTCAGTATTTGCCTCTGCCTCCTGAGTGCTGGGATTACAGGTATGTACCATGCCATCTTATTTGGTAGTAGGGATCAAACCCAGAGTTTCATACATGCTAGGCAAGCAGTCTACCAACTGAACCACATCTCAACTCTGGCCATGAATTCTTTATCCTCCTGCCCCAGCACCTGTGTGCTGGAGTCACAGGCCAGCACCACACAGTAGACTACAGTTACTGCTGGAAACAAGCTTGAGCAAGGGGAAGCCCTCTGGAACTCTCGTGTATTCTCCCCTCCTTTCTGCCTCCTGGGAGGCCTTCTCTCAACAGGATTCGAGGTAACCTGGGGAACTGCTCTCCTAAGTATTCTAAGGCTGGTGAAGAAATGGGCAGGAGGAAAAATCACATAGGAAAATCAAGGTTAGAACTGAAGTCAGTGAGCAAAGCAGGCACAGGCCAAAGGTGGGGGCACAGCGGGCCACACCACCAGGGCAGACCTCTTCCAAGACACCTCTGAGGCCTGGGTATGAAGTCGGCAGACCTTGGGGTGGTGAAGCACTCTCAGTGAGGGACCTCACAGTGACAGTGGCCCCCTTCACTGTCCTTCCAAACAGACATTGGGGACCAGAAATTTGGCTCCTGATCTCCTAACTGGGGGTGCGGTGCAGGGCCTCTGGGAACACATGCATTTGTGGGGGGCAGAACCACACATACTTATGAAATTCATTAACTGAACAAATGAAAAACTTGTTTTACCCCATAGAAAAATGAGACTTGTTCCAGGCAGGACATGTTTTGGAGCCATCAAGGTCACCTGCCAGAAGCTGATAGAGAAACTGCTGTCTGCCAAGGGATATGGGCACAGGGCCTGGCAGGCTCTGGTCCTCTTCCAGATCTGCCCAGTCCTGCAAGCTCATGACTAGGGGTGGCAGGTGGTACCATAGTTCTCACAGCCCTTCCTGGGGCTGAAGTGCCCAGAGGACAGATAAGCCACACACTGAGTCACCCACCTACCTTCTGCTTGGCAGCAGCCGCCCGATAGTGAGGTCGTGCTTGATCTGCTGGTGCCTCTGCTTCCCAAAGAGCAGGCCTGGCCCAGGACACGACAGGGAAGAGATGTGCCAAGAATCAGGCCACTCAGGAAGCTGGCTGGGTCTCTCTGTCCCCCTAGGCCTGCTTCCTTCAACCTCCCAGTGCTGAGGCCCCAGCCAAATCAATATGGGTTCCCCCACTGCCTTTGTACCCATCCTGACACAGCGACCTAGGGGCCTCCCAATGGGCTGCTCTGCAGTGATGAAGCAAACTCCATGGTGACTGCCACACCAATGAGCTGTTAGTCATCCTGGCCAAACCACCCCTCTGAGGTCAGCCTTCCCTGTACCTTTGACCTCCTGCTAGTTCTTCCCACAAGGCCCTACCTTGCAAATATCCCCCACCCCCAGGCAGCTCAAGGGAGACTGTCATTCAAAAAGCAGCTCTGTGTCTAGAGGGGACACAAAGGAGCACCTAGCCCTGGACCAGCTGACTCCAAAGGAGCTGAGCTAGGCACACAAGGGGAGTTGGCATTCCCAATAAACAGCTTTCTAGGCTTCGCCAGGAGCTACTACAACACGTTCATGTCCTGCAAAGGCGGCAATGCCACTGCCGTGCCATCTTTAATCTGAAGACATGGAACCTCCCAGAAGCCCGGCCTCGAATGCTCTAAACATGGTGCGGGGAAGATGATAGTATTTACCAACTCCAAGGCTCAGAGGCTATTTAACAGGCACAGGACAGGCAGGAGGCAAGTGGAGCCTCCAGCCTGGACCCAGGCTCAATACAGAGCTGGTACCCTCCAGCTCTATACATTCCTAGGGTGGGGGTGGGGGGTCACATCCTTTTGCCACCTGCGAAATGGCCCAAAACCCCTTGAAAGGTCACAGGCTAGGATAGGGGTGGCAGGTCCAGGCTTTCCCCAACCCTCCTGGTGGTCCAACGCCATGGAGCCTGCCACCTCCAGGAATTCTGTATTCAGGAGCACTGGGCAAAGTGGGCAGCAGGTGTGCTTGTGAGGCTGATCACTTCACAGACTGGTGGCCTCCACTCCTGGCAGCACATCATGGTCCACAGGTCCATGTCACAAAGGTTGAATTTCACAGCCTAGCAAAATTCCCAGGCAGGACAGCCTGGCCCTTCTCCCTAATCCTGAGACCCCTCAGGGTGTGGCTGCAGCTTGGCAGGCAGGATCCCTTGGTCCTCAAGGATGATGGTGCATTTGCTAACCAAGCCTCCATCTTCAGAACTTTCCTGCAGAAACTAACTCACCAGGCTGGGTAAGACGCCTAGCTCAGGGCGAGGACACATAGCCCTATGACAGGTACCACCTGACACCTATTGTGGGCAGGCCAGGAACCTATCCCAGGGGCTAGCCAGAGGCAGGCTGGGACAACAGGCATAGCCCTGATGAGAGGGCATGAGGCTGGGGACCCTTGGCCTAGGGTAAAGCAGGTAGAGTGAGTGGGGCTTGCCAGAAGCCAAGGACTAGCACCTGCTGGTCCTGACTGAAGGGCAAAAGGGGATGACAACTGCATGTCTGGACGGGAAGCCAGTGATTCAGAATGGGGTAAGGACATGAGGTACAGACTGGCCTCCAGTCTTCAACTCCTGCCCCAGCTGCCTACCCAGCCCTACTTGTCCTCTTGAACATAGGATCAAGTCCAACTCCATGAGCTGTTTATGAGGCTGACCACCCAGGAAGGCCTGTCAGAACTGCACAGGGCCTGTCCTGTGGGTTGGTCAAGTATTGCTGTGCCTGCTGGGCCCCTGCTGGCTCAGCTGTCAGCTCTCTGGGGCTCCAGATCCTCACCTGAGCAGGGAACTGGTACAGGACTCTCTGTTGCACTTGGGGAGTGTGGGAGAACTGGGTCCAGTCCCACCCAGAAAACCTGTGACTCTGAGCCTTCCTTACACAACCCCAAATGCATGCAACTGACCAAGTAAATTGTTCTGTGCAGAGATGGATATATGTATGTAAAGTGCTGGGTACAATGCTCTGAAAAATACTTCTGTCCCCTAATCTGGTACCAAGGGTGTCACTGAATCTAGCCCTTGCCCGTGAGGTCCAAAGGCTGCAGGAAGGGCGGCAGAGGCAGCTCGTCCAGGGCCTCAGGGAAGCGGCCAGGTGAGATGGTGGTGACCAGCACCTGCATGGCCCGTACAAAGAGGGATGGTGGTGCCAGCCCTGCCAGCCATTGGAACTTGTCCTCACCCAGCAGCCGCTGCCAGCGTAGCCTGTCTCCCAGCAGCTCACACCGAGCTGGGCCCGCAGCGCCCGTGGGTGTGTATAGCGCCAACAGGTCAAGTAGCAGCAGGCGGCGCTGACACAGCTCCCCAGGGGCAGTGGAGCTGGTAGTGGAGGCACTGCCATTGGCAGAGGAGGCTTCAGCAGCAGCAGCAGGGACTAAACTGGCCTCACGGCCCAGCTGGCGTAGCAGCAGCTCCAAGGGTGTGAGACCGCTGCCATCACGCAGGCCTGGGGAAGCACCATGGCCAAGTAGCAGAAAGAGGCACTCGGGTCGCGCCAGCTCACAGGCCACGTGCAGCGATGTGCCACCGCCCTCCACACGGCTGCAGCCACGCCGGTCCAGCAAACGCACACGCTCCTCTGCTGGAAAGTCACGCACCGTTCTTAGGATGCGGCGCAGGATGCCCACGCGGTTGTAGCGTACCGCCAGAGCCACGTGCGGGCCAGGCACCGTGCAGCAGCGGAAGCCGGCGCTCGGTGTGGCGAGCGCGCGCCGTGGGAACGTGGCCAGCAGGTAGTGCGCGTAGGCCTGGTGGTCGTGCACCAGCGCGTAGAGCAGCGCCTCGGACGGCGAGTAGGCGGCAGCAAGGCCGCGCTCGTCCCAGTGGAAGGCCTCGCTGGCACGCATGTCCTCTAGCAGCCACACGGGCAGCAGGTCGCGCACCGCCTGGTAGAAGGCGAAGGATGACTTCCGGCACTGCTTCTGTACCCGCAAGCGCGCAGATCCCGCGCCCTCGGGCCCGCCGTCCGCACTGCCCCCGGGCCTTGCTTCCCAGGGCATGGCGTCTCCTGGCCTCAAGGCATGGGCCGTGTCACCTCAGATCCAGCTGTGGGCGAGCGGGCAAAGTCAAGGGCAGTTTTTGGCCACGATCCCCTCGACGTGAGAAATGGCGGTGGTGACTGGAGTCTCCCACCCACCCCTCACGCAGCCCACTGGGGCTACCAGTCACTCCCAAATCTATTCTCTCCTAGACCCAGAACCAGGGCAGCCATCCATGATTTTCTGAAACTTGCCCTCTAACACTTGGTATAGCCCTGACCTGCTGGAGCCTCCCCAGACCCCCAACCTCTTTCCAGCCCTGGGACCGGCAAGATGTCCTGTTCACATCTGAGTCAGGGCCCTCCACAAATAAAGAGGCGTCCAGGTGACACTAAGAAGATGTAGGCCCACATCACAACAGGAGCCAAACCCATTCTCCATCCCAAACTCCCTGCCCCCACCCATCCACCCCCGCACGCATGCAGAGTACCCGAAGCGGCTTTCCAGGAAGATTAGCAGCGTGACCCACGCAGACCTACCTGGTTCCCGAAGCCCGATGCACTGGGTTCTGTGCACGTGAGTATTCACCTTTACCAGCCCTAGCTTCCTCCTGTGCTCCCCGCAGCAGGAGTGGGGGAGTGGCTCCAGCTCCTTCATCCACAAACAAGTTTGCTGCCCATCAGGACCTGGGAGGCGGTGGGAGGTCAGATCAACCGAGGGAATGGTGCCTTCACCGCGCACTCCAGGTCCACCCCACGAGGCCGGTACCGCCCTCCCATTTATCCACGGGGGACGAGAGAGTTCAAGGTCACCCACCAAGTCAGGGTGAGCCAGGAGCTGAGCCCAGGTCTCCTGCGTTCCTTGGGGGGCTCCTTCCAGACACCGCAAATGCCGCTTTGCACCCTGCCCTGAACCCCGGCCACTAATCCTTGGCCTCCGGCCCAAGCATCCTGGGGCAAGGGTATATAAGCCCTGGGTCCCCGGGGCCCGGGTGGCGAGCAGGCCAGGTCCACACCCTGGGCCACGATCACTCGCACTAATGGGTTGCAGAGCTGGGCAGAGGGCTGCGGCCACCGGCTCCCGGGGGCGACACCATGGACACCGCGCCTTCCCGAGCCTGGGCGTCCCCCCGTGCCCCAGGTGTGCCGAGCGGGCACGCGTGGGGTGCCGGCGAGTTACGTAAAGTTCGGCCGCCCCACGTCATTGGGCAGAGTCGCGGCCGCGGCTCCGTGTCTGGGGGTCCCCCCCCCCCCCCCCCCCCCCCCGCCAGACCCTCCCTCAAACACCGACCGCCCTCGCGGCGCCCCGGCAGGGGCTGCACCTGCGCGAGCGAGTCCTCGGGTGGCGCCAGGGCCGGGGCGGGGCACTCACCGAGCTGCGCGACAACGTCCCCGCCACGGGCAGGACGGCCAGCGGG